GAAGGCGGGATACCTGGAGCAGCTTCCCAAGAAGCTCCAGGAGTTCTCGCGCTACCTGGGCTCCCGCACCTGGTTCGCGGGGGACAAGGTGAGTTCAGGGGGCTCTGGGAGGCTTCTTTGGGGGTCCCTGTGGGGTCTGACCACCCCCTTTCCCCCCAGCTGACCTTCGTGGACTTCCTGGCGTACGATGTGCTGGACCAGCACCGCATGTTCGTGCCCAACAGCCCCGAATTCCAGGGAAACCTGGGCAGCTTCCTGCAGCGCTTCGAGGTGAGGGGGGACAGGGGACAGCCTGGGAACAGACTGGGGACAGCCTGGGGACAGCCTGGGGCACTCCAGTGCCCCCATCCCTGACCCTGTGGTGGCCCTGTCCCTATTCCTGACACCCCTGTGTCCCTATCCCCATCCCCTACACTCTGGTTTCCCTGTCCCCATCGGTCCCTCTCCCCACTCCCCACCACTGACATCTCAGTGGCCCCACTCCTGTCCCCACCTGTCCCTGTGCCCTTTGGCTGCAATTCCTTTCCCTTTTTTCCTCATCCATATCTACTCTGTCCCTACCCTTGTCCCCGTTTTCCCCATTTCTGTCCCCTTTGTCCCCATCCCTTTGCCCTTTGTCCCCCTCTTCTCTGGCAACGTCTCCCTGGTGTTTCCAGCCCCGTCCCTGTGTCCCCATCCCTGTCCCGTGTCCCCATTGCTTTCCCCACGTGTCCCAGACCCCTCCCAGTCCCTGCTGTCTCCCCAATGTCCCCCTGTGTCCCCCCAGGCCCTGCCCAAGATCTCCTCCTACATGAAGACCCCACGCTTCATGAAAACGCCCATTTTCTACCGCACAGCCAAGTGGTGCAACACCAAGGAGTGAGGGGGGGACCCCCACAAACCCTCTGTGCTCTCAAACTCACTCTGTGCCCCCCAACTCACCCCACCCTGAATAAATTGTGTGTGCTCTGCCCTGTCCGTCTGATTTGTGGCTTCACTGTAGGACTGCGGGGACCCCCCGTTTGTGGGGTGACCCCCGCGGGGGTGGGGGGGCTGTTGGACCCTCCTGGATTATGGGATGGGGGGGCTTCTCTCTGCAACACCAGGATAAGGGAGACCCCCTGAGTGTCTGTGCCCCCCCAGCATAACGAGACCCCTCCTTAGGGAGTCGAAAGGGGGACCCCCCTGCAGCTTGAGGGGGGGCACAGAGGGATTCGTGGCCCCCCTGGGATAAGGGGGACCCCGTGGGGTGTGGGGGCCGCAGAGCCGCCAGGACACGGGGGTTCCGCGGGGATGGGGGTGGGGTGACAGAACCCTCCCAATACAGGGGGTCCAAAGGGGAAGGGGGGGTTGCAGAGCCCACAGGATAAGGGGGTTGCGCCCACTTCCACTCGCCCCGCCCCGAGCCCTCAAGCCCCGCCCCCAGCAGGGGCGTGGCCTGGGATGTCACGTGCTGGGGGCGTGGTCTTGGGGTCTGTCACGTGCCAGGGGCGCGGCCGCGCGGGTGGCACCTGCCGGGGGCGTGGCCGCAGGCACGGGGTCCAGGCTGGCGTGGTGTGTGCATGGATCTGCTTAAAATATTCTTACACACCTTTTTCAAACTCAGTCATTTGTCGGAGGATGTAGCAAGGCTGTGCAGCCTGACCATGGGAGAAAGAATGTAAATAAGATGTGAACGTCCAATCATATGTGAAGGCTCGTGGTAAATATAGATAATAGAGCTAAGAATAGTGTTAGTATGTAAGATTCTAGGAGACAGTGTGTGTGTGCAGCTGTGTGAAGACAATGTAATATTCTGGA